AGACACACACACACCAAACCCTCTGCTCCCCAACCCCGCCCCTACCTGCTCTCCTCACAGAAGCCTGACACAAACAGTTAACAGAACACTTGAACAATAAATGCAGATCGCTACAATATGCTCACTTTAATTAATCTCTTAATTCATAGTTTTTTTATCATTTTTATTTTTGATTTGATCTTTAAATTGTATTAATCTGTGTGACTGTGCGGTCCTGTTTTTCATTCTAACCCTGTTGCTGTTAAACCACTGAATTTCCCCACGGAGATTAATAAAGGTCCATCTTATTTTATAAAAATCATGTCTTTAACAGAAGAAGACTGTGATAGTGTTGTTTTTAAAATTCCTTAACGCAGCTCGTAGTCTTCAAAGTTCTGGGTGTTGTCAAAATGTATATATAATTATATTTATCCTGCATTCATTGTTTGTTTTTCTTAAGATCCAAGAAATGTGATGCTTTGAGTGAGTTAATATGAAACACAAGATAACATCCATTCTTAAGATAAATACAACCACACCAACTGATTGATATTAAATGGATTGGACAAAAAATACATAATTTGGTATTAAAAAAATACTAGAAAGATTATCTATTTTTGCAAGTGAACCATCAACATTGCCTTGATGTAAGCTACGGGCAAAAACTTCAATCCTAAGAAAATGTGAAGCTGCTAAATGCTCCACCAGCCAATCTCTAACTGTGCCTGTCTGTGGTGTGAAATAAAACAATTTTTTTTAAAAGCGGTTACTCAGTATAAAAGCTAAGTAGGGCAGCATCGTTCCACTTTTACATATAAATAGTCCTGAAGTCCAATGTTCTTATATAAATATATGTATTTTAAGACTCAAACCTGGGATGTTGAAATTAAACTGTACCATCTAGTGTTTTTTAGAGCTGAGTGAAAGTTTGTTTTGACCATTTCCTTTTCGAATCTAGTGCAGCATGTTGTGAGTAGATGGTGTCGCTGTTTCTTACCCGGCTCCTCATACTGCACGTCTGAGCTCCCCGAGTAGCTGGCCTCAGTCTCTCCTTTGTTGACGTGCCGCTTCAGGTGGCTGATCATGTCCGTCTTCCGGGCGATGGTGACAGAACACACCACACAGTGGTAGTGAGCCACGTGTCTCCCCGAGGCCTGGACAGAATATATTGGGATATCAACTTAATTTAGGGGGGAAAGAAGTAAAGAAATGCAGCATCTTCACAATAATGTCAAATGGCATGATGAGAGGAAATGCCTTAGAATTCAGTATTTACCAATTCAGAATTTGGACGATATTACTTGTGAATTTTTTTAAGGGGCTCTATTATGCACATTTTCAGGTTCATATTTGTATTTTGTGCCTATGCTGTGACATGTTTCCACGGTTTATTCTTCAAAAAGGTATTTATTTTTCTCATACTGCCGGTGCTGCAGCACCTCTTTTCACCCTCTGTCTGAAACCAGAGTTCAGTCTGTTCTGATTGGTTAGCTGGACAGCTTATTGGTCAAGTGCTAAGAGATGTCCCACCCCTTAGCCAATCACGTACATGGTGTTGGAGCGCTAGCCATTAGAAGTGGGAGTTTTACATAGTGATGTGATTATGTTACAGGAGAAAGCCTAATAGAGCCTCTTTAAGAATGACAGAATGCAGAGACAGTCAATTGTTGCCTACTTTTGCTCAATCATGAAAAATAGCTTTTATGATTAAAAGGCAAAACATGTTTAGGAATATATTAGGGGTCTTACAGAGTAAGGATTTATTTCCACATGGTGAAGAAGGTTCAGTTTTTTTCTGATTTACATTATTTAGGTCACATTTCATAATAAAAGTAACAATACAGAACTTACAGGAACCTTAAAAGTAGGGTTTACTGCAGCACAACAAGATGTATGCCGAAACTAAGTATGTGAAATGTATTTTTGTTTTGTGTTATATGTGTAACCAATGTGCGGCAGGTCTCCCTTGTAAAAGAATCCTATGTCGATGAAGCCCGAAGCTACAGGGTTTGCTCTTATAGTTCCAAACTGATGGGAGTGTGATCTGCAGACTGTGTGTGTGTGTGTGTGTGTGTGTGTGTGTGTGTGTGTGTGCGTGCGTGCGTGCGTGCGTGCGTGCGTGCGTGAGTGCGTGAGTGCGTGTGTGTCTAAGTTCTCGCCTGATCTCCACTGAGGCTGGGTTTCAGGTTTCTGCAGGGCAGGTGGCAGATGCACATCATCTGGCCTGTTAAAGGTCAACAGTTATGCATCAAGATTAGAAGATGTCCTTAGCTGTCACTTTCACATGCATTTCTTTATCATTACAAGTAAGGAAAACATGATTTTTTAACTTTGCACACTTCCTCCGACCGGTATGACTGCAATGAACAGCTAAAGGTACGTAGAGTCTCTTGATGCTGTATTTTGGATTTGTTCTCTCGGTATAGCCTTCACAGCTGCTAGTATAAACTTACTCTATGATCTATTAAAAATGTCAGAAGAAATCATGATAAATGCCAAAAATATGTTCCTAAAACTGTTTATTTTGTCTGACCAACAGACATTTAATTTCTTTTGGACAAGTAACAAAGATAGCACATACAATTAGCAGTAAAGTATGTCAAACTCTTAATTTAATAATTATAATAAACAATATAAATAAACAATCCAATTACACAATCCAATACATTTTAAATAGTTTAATTTGAGAAACTATGATAACATTTTCATTATTCCCACAAATGTTCACTGACTGTGTTAGCTGGAAGTGGTTGGGGCTAATTGTTGTCTTTTATAACCAGAAAATGTAACTCCAGTAAGCGTCCAGGAAGAGGGATTTTTGTAGCGGCCAAACGGTAGTACAACTCTTCCGTTCTAGTCCGTGACGTCATTGCGCCAAAAAATACTTTTCCCTATTGACTGACATTGTGAAAGAGACATCTGTAAGTCGGTATATATATATTTTTAAGCTAAGTATTATACCTAGTTCGAACACTTTTATAGATCATATTTAAATGATTAGGGTCTAAAAGTTGTAAAATGCACTAAAACTTAATCCAGAGCTATTTTCCCTCTCCATTCATTTGACTGAGGCGAGAGCGGGAGATCGGAGGCGGGACCTACAGTCGCTCCATTCTGGCTTCATGCACCACTGGGCAGCTCTCATAGGAATGAACGGGGCCTCACCTCAGATGCTGTATCCAGTTCTCTTAATACATCCATAGTATAACTCAAATGGCAAAAGTGTTCTTCCAACTTCCTGTTTCAGCATGGCACAAAGCCAGCTCCATAAAGATTATTTTTCTAGTTTGTTGTAGGAGAGCATCATTGTGTGACCTTGTGTTTCATGTTCCTACCTTCAAACTCCACATAGACTTTCCAGTGGAGGTTCTGCAGGTGTCTGCGGAGCTTGTGGCTGTAGCAGGCTTTAAACTTCTCCTCGGGACACAGAGGGCACGACTTACGTCCCGCTGGTGAGTGAAAACACAAAATCAAAAACCAAGGATGTATATAAAAGTTATTTTCATTTTTGATCATTCTCTAGATTATTTCTCTTAATTATATTCTCTAAAACTGTCAAAAACATATAACACATTTGTTTTAACAGCAAACACGACATCTAAAATATCTTGCTGTGTCCAACCAACATTCCAAAACTTAAAAATGGCCACCTGAGAAGTATAGACAAGTTAAATTGGTTGCATGAAAAATACTTTAAAAGTTATTTGATTATCAAAATAGTGTCAGATTTATTCTCTTGCGTGACTTACTGATAAATCGTCTTTAAGCTGCAGCTTTAAAAGTCACGATTTCATTTAAATGTTCTTCTGTATTATGAGATTTGTTTAAATATTAAAAATCTAAAGAAAGCAGTAGGGCTGCACCGGATAATTTTAAGATTCAAAGTTTCATTCACAACATTGACATTCAAATAAAAAATCAAAAGAGTATGAATTGTTTTTAAAGCTAAATTGTATTATTTTTATTATTAGGTTAGGTTGGGTTCCCATGGTGTATTCCCATATAATCAGATTCAAACATTCTGCACTAACTACAACATGTTAATAAAAGTCAACATTTATTGAATTTTTTTTGGATTTTTCTAAAATCACATCAAATCACATATCCAACAAATTCTGCTTCAATCCATATTTGTAGTGTTAAACCTTTCTAATACAAAATGTTCACTGTGGTCAAAAAACATTTTGCTGTATTAACGGGTCGGTCCAGCAACCATCTAACCGCACAATAAATTACATTTATTAAACCACAATAACAAAAAAATCCCCTAGTATTTAAGGATGCTTACTTCATAAAATATAACATGTAGTCATCAGCAGTTCTAAAATGTACGTTTGGTACAGCCCAAGATAAGGAACGCATTATGAATACTTCCTGTAAAAGTGAACTCACCACCATTGAGGTCAACCAGCACCTCGAGTCCTTCCAGTTTAGTCTGGATGGAGATGTGTCTGTCTGTGAAAAGGAGACAACATTAAGATGTTGTGTTCAGTCAGAAAAAAGTTGTAGTCCATATCATTAATGTTTCCTTCCTAAAGTCAGTGAATACAGATGACATGAGGCCATCGAACCCATCCACACAGAGAAAGAGTGTTATATATATTAGCGGTTTTATATATATATATAGGTATATATAGATTTAGCATATCACCTGAAATGGTAGTTGAGGGCTTGGCGTCACTGTCTGCAGCGCCTTCAGTCTTCTCTGCCTGATCTGCAGCTTTGTCCCCAGCTGACGATGCATCTCCACCATCTGCACAGACAGAAAGAAAGGGAAATCAATGATTTATAAAGCTATCTAGTTTAATTCACTGAGAGCCCCAGCTGCAGTTTGTCAGCTACATAGCTACTGAAACCAGTTAACAAAAAAAGGAGATGAAGCAGTTTGTTCATATGTGTCTACTCAACGACTTTCAAAAACAACGTAGGCTACCTCTACTTTTAAAAGTTGGAGTTATAAAAGTCTAGGTACCATATTATCTAAGGAAGTGCAACTAGTGATGTATTGATTAATTCATTGAATCATGAACAGCATTATTTTACTGTGACATCATACAGAGAAAAACTAAAATTCGGAGACAATGAAGAAACTTCAATAGGAAGATTTATGGTGTTTGTCTCGCTACATTACTTAAAATAACTATTCAAATATTGAAACTGCTGTGGATAATATATTAATAGATTATCTCCCACCAGGGCTGTAGTTATAAAGATATGTATCTTGGTATTTGGAGGTTTTACATTCAAAATAAAACGTTTGGTAAAGCAAAGTTACATTAGCGGCAAGCAGTGTTTGTCATGACCTCAGTAGCCTATTCTCTAATATAGTTACATGTAGCCTACATTATAGCCTACAATAATATACTTGCTACAGACCATATATCGCTGCTCCACTCCATAGATAGACCGTTTCACACTTTCGAAACCCTTTCATTTCCTAACGCGAGTTTTTTTTGTGTGAAACCAAAACCAGAGTCTCCGTAGAATAATGGACAGTCGATGTCCTAACTGAGCGGCCCTGTAGTGCAGCTCCGTGAAGAGACCGTGTCAACCAAACCTGTGGTCTACAACCTGAATACAACACTTACAAAAAGCAACTGCGAAGAGATACACTACTTTAGAGAACAGCTGACCACAACGGTTAGGCCAGTGTAAGCTCCTGCGTCTTCATCGCTGTTATTGTTGACTATTTAGGTCCCATGGCGGAGCTCCGTGGTGAGGCCCTCGTTTAGTTAAGCAGTTACAAACTGATATTTACTATGAATTCACTGCACAGTGCTGATAGCGACTACATTGGAATGTATTTTACAATTATATGTCCTAAATTTGGAGTTGAAACGACAAATGGGGTGAATTAACTTACGTTTGATATCGACGTCCTCCTGGTGTAGCTGAGCAGCATCTGCCTCTTTGAGCTCCGCCATTGCTAACCACAGCAATACTCCAATACGCAGGAAATGTCTGTCGTACGTGCTTAACGTAAACTGCGCAGTTTGAAAACGTAATTTGCTTTTGAACATAACACTCATTTACACAGAACTTTACAAGCTACATTTCTTTTTCAAAACAGGTTCACGCAATGGAATGTCAGTTGTAGATCCTTCCCCAACACCCACGTATACAAATATATAGAGACATTAAAATCCGAAATTAAAAACAAATTGCAGAACAGAAAACATTCCAAATATAAGCATCTTGGTGATCCGCAACACTGGAATATGTTGGTACCCGATACCTCGAACAATATAAAGTAACTATATTATTATTAGTAGTAGTAGTAGTAGGCCTATTATTGCAATTATAGTTTTTTTTAAGTCAGATAAACTGTTGGCCTTTTTAACAGCTGTCACTTTTACACATCACTTTAGCAGGGTAAACACATTGAAGTTGAAAATATGAGTTATGGTCTCGTTCTATTTCACCAGCGAGCACACTGTCTTTAACCCGCAACACCAGTAGATGGCAGCAGAGCTTCATGATGTCTTTAGCTTCACCTGTGATTGATGTATAACAACCATAGACTGTATAGATAACAACCAACCAACACACCCTGCAATATGGGTCATTCCAAAATTGGAGGACATTTTCTCTCCCACGTATGACATTTCAAATAATCCATGCCCAAAATGTTAAAAAAGTGCACTTGTTTTGCTAGATGTACTTGTCCTTAGACAAAATGAAAATGAAGTTGTATGAAAAGTGGTATCAAAATATGATTAGGTCTTGAGCGTGGAAAATGGCATTTCCTGGTCCCTCCTTCTTGGTGACCAACTTGCATATTAATAGCCTTTTTATTGACTTTTTGTTGCTATTATTTTAAATAGCAGTCATAAACACTGAAACTATGTCCCTCAACATGCCAAATCCTATTTATTTGGCAGAGGAAGAGAACAACTGTAAGTCAAAGGACACAGAGGAAATTACATCAAGCCATGCGATACTGCTATTGGTAACCAAAGATAAGTCCTCTCTTTTATTTGTCATATTTTTCTTATTCTTTCAGAAAGAGTCTGGCCCTCCAGTCCAATGTATTGCTGTACAATTAACTTAAAATGAACACAACTGTGTTTAAATTATAGTTAGATTAAGAGGGAAATAGACATAAAAGTGCTAAACCACCCTTTAGGGCCGTTTAAAATCAACAAATAAAACATACAATAAAATAATATTACTTGGCTGAGCTGGCCAAATCAATGTTTGTTATGGAATGGCATACATAGCTTTAAATAGAAAGACAAACACTTTTGCCCACGTCAATTTAACAGAAAATATGACCCAGTTTAAGGAATCAAGTGTGAAAAGAAAGTGAAGGCACATTTACCCCCCCCCCCCNACGGCAAATGCTGCGGCCACAAGGCATTGTGGGGCAGCATTTTCTCCTCTCCTTTCGTAAAGGGAGGTCCAGTGGTTCCTAAACTAAAGGAGGTTATAAAGGAAGTTTGAAACCTCCTTTCCTATCATCTCTAGAGAATTCGAACGGCACTTATCTTGCCTGCTACTGAGGGACTTCCGGGTCATTTCACTCCGTTAGGAAGGTTCCTAAGCTAAATGGACTATTCGACTTCAGCCTACTAGGAGCAGTGGACAGCGCCAGGGGAGCAATGGGAGTTGGGGGGGAGAAGGGGGTTGTCCGGTGCCTTGCTCAAGGGCACCACGGCAGGGCCCAGGAGGCATCGAGAAACATTGTGAGAAATAGAGAAAAGCACCATCAATTCTGACACTTCAAACCAAACCAAAATAAATAGTTACATATAACAAATAATTACAAATAATAACATATTCAATTCACGGTCAGAAAGCTCGCTGCGCATGCCAAACTCAATGAGACACATCTGTGGGACAAACACATTGATATTGGGAGTTGCCCTTTGAACACCTGTTGGTGGATTGTCTCATATGTGATCACTCTAAATACACCACCATTTTTTACTCTTCGAAAAAAACAAAACATAGTCTGTGTTTTTGGTCCCCAAGACTTAAAAGCTCAAAATAACTCGACCTCCCAAATTTCTGAGTCTCGACTCTCTCTTTCCACCCCGTTGAGTTGCTCAAAGAGACATCACAGGGGCGACTCATTAAATCCCGCGTGCTCTCTCTCTTTCTCACTTGCAGCTTTATTTTTAGCATCCAAACAACTGGTCTCCTAAAAATGGGCCTGTCCTACACTACTAGTGGGAGAGGAGTGCTGCTATGTATGGTATCCACCCCCCAGCACCTCACAGGCCCGACCGTATTCCTCTTTCGTCTTTGTGTCTGCAGAGAGAGGTGTCAAGGAGTGATCAAGGGGCTAGAAACAGTTGCTACAGGTCTTAAAGATGCTCGTAGGATTTGGATTTCTCTGCACAGCTTGGGATGCTTGAGAACTGCCTCTGAAGGACCAACTTTTACCTCAAAAACGTCCACATTTCCCTACCCTTTCACAGGGCTAGGTGTGATTTGCGTAGTTTTATACTTCGAAACCGAAATCTGACTTTGGTGTGAGGTTTCTCCGGAACATGCTTTCCCTGTGCTTGTTCCTGCTTCCTTGCCTGAGCTTCCTGCCTTTGGCCCCGGCTGCAAAGGGCCTGGAGTTCCCCCAGTATGACGGGAAAGACCGTGTCCTAGACATTAATGACAGGAACTACAAGAAAGCCTTGAAAAATCACAGCATGGTATGCATGTTCTACCATGGGCCCATGTCAGACAGCAAGGAGCTTCAAAAACAACTCCAGATGAAAGAGTTGGTGCTGGAGGTAAAGTATTTAAAGTGTGTAAGATAAACATGTTAAGAAAGCTGTTACTAGAGGAGATGTAGGACAGACATATATTTGAAATGGAAAGGACACCGTTGATTTTGGTGGCAGGGGTTTGACTGAAAGGACAGTAGTTGTCCATTCAACCAGAACCTTGTAAAATGTTTAATGTGTAATATAAATCAACAAAAGTGCCAAATAATAAAAGGGCCAACTGGTGAGGAATTAAACTCTGTCCTTATGTTCGTATGTGTGCTTTGTCAAGGTCAATGTGTATCTCTCTGAGCACATTTAGTCCAGTGGGATGCAGTACTGACACTTAAGGTTACCTGTATATCACCTTAATTCAATGTGTGCTTTTATCCCCCAGAAATATATCACTGTAACCTTCCCTGTGCATCTCCTGAAGGCAGCATTAGGTCAAGAGCTCATGTGAATTATGTTTTAGAGCAATGATTTCTGAAGGGCACAAATACATTCTCGTCTAATGCAGTGTTTTGATGGTCAAAGCATTGGTATACTTGAAGTATTTTTTTTAATGAGGCTCAGTTAAAGAGTTCTTGTCTGATAATTGGAATACATTGCTTTATTTGAACCCCATACTGTAGGAAACATTGTGCTCTGTCTCATGTTACACATGGCTAAGGGTGAGTTGCTCTCTGATCTCTGAAGGTAATCTGAGCTGAGTCATGCAGTACTGATATTAGCTTCACCTTTTTGAAGCAGCACAGGTGGGCCCTGTTACTATCAGTCAGGCGAGATGAACAAAGCTAAGAGTAATTTACATAAAAACGTCCCCTAAAGTTGTCTTGTAAACACGCAAAATATAGCATTGTTTAAAGCCATGTTTTCTTACTAAATACTGCCTCACTGCCATTTGTGAATTAATATGTTTATTAGCAATCAACACCAACTGTCAGCTGTTGAAACTGATGGCAGGATATGAATTGTATGGCCTGCATGCTCACATGCGTGCCTTGTGCACAATGCAAACAAAACAGTGACCCAATTGTAAAAAACATTGCTGCATAGCGCCATATATGCGGCTGTATATATATATTGAGCTTTTCACTGTTTATTGAATATAGTACATTGATTGAACTTTGAATATGTTTGTTACCTTGGTGTATGGATCATTTCTATCAAGACAGTCTCAGTTTCACTATACTTCTGAACAATTGCCAGAACAATTATATGTACTGTAGCTCTGGCTATATTTAGCTCATGGCAGCCTGGGTGATGATGTAACCGTGTGTCCATGGCCCCTGGGTAGCCTGAGCACCTCTATTGCCCACTTTGGTATTATTATCATATTCTTAAGACCATACACAGCAGTTGGGCTCCCATCATGTAATTTATTCACAACAGCTGCCAAAATGAATATTATGGGTTAACTAAACTACTATGCTTCTTCTCAGAACTCAGAGTTGAAAGGATTTATGAAATGCTTTGATTTCTTCAATGTTATGTGTTCAGTCCTGTTTTTACAATGATGTTTTTCTTGATATTTTTTCTTGTGGCTGCAGCTTGCAGCTCAGGTTATGGAGGAGAAAGACATTGGGTTTGGAATGGTAGACTCCCACAAAGATGCAAAGGTAGCAAAGAAACTGGGTGAGTATATGGATAGATACAGCACAAGCTATTTTAGATCGATGCTTGCAATTCCTGATAAACGATTGGCCGTAATCACAGATTTAATCAAGGGTCAAATAACTTGAGTAAACAATATAAATCCATCTAACAACATGATTTACCTCAATGACAGGCCTGGAGGAGGAGGGCAGTGTGTATGTTTTCAAGGCCGATCGGATGATTGAGTTTGACGGCTTACTCTCAGCTAACATTCTGGTGGAGTTCTTGTTGGACGTAAGTAGACTGGTATAAAAGCAGAAATCAACACCAGTTTAGCCAATGTTACAGGCATACCCCATACTCTCTCTGTATGTATGTCTCTAGCTGTTGGACGATCCAGTGGAGGTTTTAGAAAATGCTCTGGAGCTGAGAGCTTTTGATAGGATGGAGGAAGACATCCGCCTCATTGGCTACTTCAAAAGCGAGGAATCTGAGCGTGAGTGTGTGAGGCATGAATATATATAAATAATGTTTGCTTTTCCGCTTACCAAAACAACGCTCTCGTTAGCCGGGTCTGTGACAGGCTTTCTTTGGCCCATGACCTTCATTATAACATAATTGAACCCCTCATCTCCATGGATTTACAGATCCATTTTTACATCTGCTGCACACACAGCTGCCCTTGCTTGGTCCCATTTCACAGGCTGAGTAGTTTAGTTGTGGTGTTGAGCTGCAGCTACATCCCATCTGACCAACTGTGGGAGTATTAGTTGGAGGTCAAAGTTCATCTATTTCCGATACCTAATGTGCAAATGTCATGTAACAGCCAGAGGAAGCACAAACAGATGCATGACCAGAAAAACAAGACTGCAAAAAAAACAGATTTCCTTGCAACAAAAATAATACTTTCCTTCACACTGCACTTTTTCATCCTCAGACTATGAAGCATTTAAAGAAGCTGCAGAGCAGTTTCAGCCCTACATCAAGTTCTTTGCCACATTTACGAAATCTGTAAGTAATAAATCACAAACAAAAATGTAAACATGCAAGCATCATTTTTCTTGAATCATTATATGTTGCTTCAGGTTGCCAAAGAGCTGACTCTGAAGATGAATGAGGTGGATTTCTATGAGCCCTTCATGGAGGAGCCAGTCACCATCCCCGGCAAGCCTCACTCTGAGGAGGAGCTGGTGAAATTTATAACTGAACACAGACGGTAAACAAAGAGCAATATTGAACTAAATAATCAGACAAATGTGTATCCAACCAATATTGTTTATAATAACACTTGAACACTCACATTCTCTGTGCTATCAGACCAACTCTGAGAAAGCTGCGTCCAGAAGATATGTTTGAGACCTGGGTAAGGGATGATTGACAAACAACTTTAATTTAGTTTCATATAGTTTACACTGACACTAGTAACGTGACATTTATAAATCTTGCTTTTCTCAGGAAGATGACATTGAAGGCATCCACATTGTGGCTTTTGCAGAGGAGGAGGACCCTGGTAAGGGCATCTTTTACCACTATATTAAAGGGGATAAACATGACAGTAAAATACATTCAATCTCCACAACGGAACTAGTCAACAAGAAGTTTGGAGACTCTAGTGCCCTGGTATTCAATCTGTAATTGTGAAGCACCTGTCATACCACTTTACGACTGACATGCCAATAATAAAACAGTACAACAAAACAATATGGGCAGTTTGAGGTTAATTCTTCATGGAAAATACAAATGCTAAAATTCTCATAAGAAATCCAATAAAACTCATAAATAAAGAAAGAGAACAGATAATTAACTATAGCACGAAAGTAATACAAAAAGTGAAAACATTTGTGTATGCCACCACTGACAGCCGCTCCCATAGATATATATATATGGTCACTCCAGCAGAGAGTTAGCATAGCTTAACATTAGGCTGAAAGCAGGGGGAAAGATTTCAGGAAGTCGCTATTAAATCAAAGTAAACGTGTTGGGTTTAGACCTAATCTTGTTGTTTACCTTTCAAGCATGATGTAATGTATGTGTTATTTAGTTAGCTTTAGAGATGCTGTTAGGTGGATTTTGTGATCTTCATAAGGTGCCATGCTAGCTGTTCCCCCTTGTTTGATGTCTTCATGCTAACGAACTGCCCACTAGTTGTAGCCTTTTACGTAAACTGTTGACATGTGAGTGGTGTTAATCTTCTCAATTTACTAAGAAAAGAGTAGGTTTTATCCCCAAAATGTCAAACTGTTTCTTTAAATGGGTGAAAATGTGTTTTCTCTTAGACCAACGTTTTTTTATTAATTGATGTTGTGTGAATATGCTTGCAGATGGTTTTGAGTTTTTGGAGATCCTGAAGGAGGTCGCAAGAGACAACACGCACCTTCCTGACCTCAGCATCATCTGGATTGACCCTGATGATTTCCCCCTGGTGAGTAATCAAGAAAAGTAAACTTGTGGATGGGAATTAGTTTACATGCTGCAGGTCTGATGTCATTTATTTCGCTAACCCCTTTTCAGCTGATCCCCTACTGGGAGAAGACCTTCAAGGTGAATCTGTTCAGACCACAGATGGGAGTTATCAACGTTACTGATGTGAGTCCCTGGCAACATGTGTGACGTGACACAAATGTTTTGTTGAGTTTCTCCCGACATTATTGAACCTTTCTGTCTGTGAGCAGGCTGACAGCGTGTGGATGGAGATGGACGACGAGGAGGATCTGCCCACCGCCCCGGAGCTGGAGGACTGGATCGAGGATGTGCTCTCTGGCAAAATCAACACTGAGGACGATGATGACGACGATGATGAAGACGACGATGATGAAGATAACGATGACAATAATAATGAAGAGGATGATGATGACGACGACGATGATGATGATGATGATGATGATGATGATGATGATGATGATGATGACGACGACGACGACGATGATGACGACGATGATGATGATGATGAGTAATTCATAGTCTAATCCTTGTGAATGTTGACTTTTCTGCTCAGTTTTTTCCCCTCTGGTTAGGTTTACCATGGATTTATTACAAATTAGTGTACATAATAATTATTTTAACAAATAAACAATATCAAATTTGTAGTGCAAATAGAAATAAATATATTTAATGTTAAAAAAATATATTACAATTGACATTGTAAATAAGCCTGGAATGGTTCCTGAGATTGCAAATAAAATACATTTATTCAAAGGTTATAAATACAGTGAAAATGTCAACTATCCCTGTCATCTATTAAAATATTTATTTTAAACCATAACACTTCAAGAGAAAAAAGTACTCACTGAAACGTTTTCACAGTCAAACTAATAATCTGAAGGTTTTTTTTAAAAAGCTGAACATCCATAACAAAGGTTAACAGGATAAAATAACACTTATCAATCATTGATACAAAAAATAAAATCCTTTGAAAAGATTGATACAAATATTTCTTTTTTTACAAATGTGACTTTGACACAGCTGATGTGATTTTGAATGTCGTGTTGTATAAAAGAAACAGGGACAAAGCGTTTAACAATTTATGTTCTTCATTATGTTCCCTTTTCACCCTCTCTCTTTCTCTCTCTCTCTCTCACACACACACACACACTTGAAAAACTGCACATGCATCCTAAATATGTATGACTGAGGCACATGTGTAGTCTACAGCTATTTACAACCATCAACACACAAAAGCCTACACATAACTACACCGCCAGTGACCACAGAAACACTTGTGTAAATATACATTTACAACATAAGAGTCCTCATAAATACAAAGGGTTTTCAGAATACAGATATATATTGATACAACTTAACAGTTTGATTGATGCTCAGGACAGTGTTGCTGTTCCAGTAGCTGTAGAAAGGTGGCAGTAGTGTGACACTGAGACAAAACACTGAAAGAAGAAACACTGACAGTCGGTTGAGCTAATTTAGACTAAATTATTCAATTTCAACACTTGGTTAAGCACTTTTCCTGCATGAGATATGCTTGACTATATATTTTGGTGAGACGTTTCCAAATCCTCAAATTTGCTGAAGTAATATTCCATTAAGTTGTACATTATCTCATGCTCCAGGAACTTGCATTATGCAGATAACTAATATACACCCTCCTTACTGTGAAATAAGATATAAATGTAGGGGCATATGTTTTGAAATTCAACAGCGCACATGGTAACGTTTAAATACAAGATATGAACATGAATTTAGTCGTCCAAAAATGTAGTCTCTCTGATAGTCCACAAAAAGATCAGTGTACACTGCACACACTTAACTGTCCACACATAGCAAGTGTCTATTGGATGCACCATCTATATTCAGCTGTACTTCGGTTGGCATTCAGTCCAGGAGATTCCAGTGATTTTGACATTTACAAACATTTCTTCATCTTCTCTTCACAGTCCAGTTTATCTTCACAAATACAGCTCAGATACAAAATAAAAGATAATGTTTGACAAGGTTAAAAAAAAGAAATCATTCAAGCAATGCACAATTTTGATATAAAAAGTCTGGAGGGATAACAAATATTCACATATAAATACTGTACATAAATCTGTAATACAGGACAGTTAAATAATCGTGGCTTAGACTCAAAATGAGAAGTTTTGGTGAAAAGGGTTTGGGTTTTATCAAATATCCTGGTCAGTATGGTAAGGAGAAAGAAGAGACAGGTCGAGACAGATTTGGTGTGGTATCTACACCCCTAAAGGTGTGAAAACACACTCCACCTAAATCATGAACTCCCCCACGCAGGCACACCCTGGCACATGCAAGCAAAAGGAAGATGTACATTTGGGAGGGTCGTCTGTACTGCATATAGGAAAACCAGACTGTGTTCTGGACTTATCAGGACAGAGAAATCCAAGCATCTCTACCGTCTCCTGTCATTTATCGTCTTTTATGTCGACCAGGACAAAGACAGGGACACAAAGTTACTCAATGTGGAAAATTACACAAGCATAATGTACAAAAAAACAGTACAAAAAGTTATTTTTGGAAAAATTGTCCTGTAAGTCCAGCACTGTGTTAAACTGAGGTTTCTGATTGGAGCAGAAGTATAAACTTGTGAGACTTGGGGTCGATGAACTCCTCAGTCAGACGGATGTAAGGGATGCCCTTGACAGTCACAGCTAAGTTAAAGTCAAGACATCTCAGCAGGAAATCTGACCCTTCCTTTAAACCACTGGTGACAGAAGCCTCGCTGACCAAAGTCCACTGGTCAGCCATCCAGCGCTCAGGCCCGTACTGCAGGGTCGGTCCAGGAGCCAGGTAGCCCTCAAGAAAGGCCTGAAAACACAGAAACAGCCAATTATAAAACATGTTTACCCAGAAAATCACTTGGCACAATCCTCAGAAAGGTTAAAGTGAATGGGTGCTTTACAAATCAAAAGCAGAACCCACCTTTGGGCTCATGTTGTTGACCAGACAGAAAGCAAGGTGCTTCTGGATGCTCTCCATGCTGTGGCAGTGCTGCCTCCTGGTGGTGCGGAGGTACTTTTGCAGGGCACGGGCCATAGAGGGAAATATAGCCAGAGCTGCTTCACGCACATCCATGATGTCAGACGGTGTTGCCTGCTCATCCTCTTTCTTCATCCGCCGGATATGTGTGAAAGCCTCCTCCACAGCCACCACCAGCCTGACAGAGAGGGGACAAACATACATTAACAGGGGGCTTAATGTCAGCTCTCTAGGCACTGGTGTTTAGTAAGTAATACTATAGAGTAATCCTTGACTCTCTCTTAGTCTAATGAAATTGTAAATCTAAAGACCGTGCATGAGCATAGAATGATGAGAAAAGACTGGATACAGAGTGGTGATGAGGTAGTTTTTGTATATTAATCAAACAGTATCCTATTTTGACAGTTCACAATGTTTCATGGATTTTCCCTCACTACTGTTTTAAGACACATTCAAACGTGTGAACCCATTCTATAAGGAGGAGAAACAAGATGTGGATTCAGACGGACATGCAAAATTCCAATCACATTTACATGCAGAGGGGCATGTCTGAAATAGTCTATAGATCAGTTTGTTGCCCTCAGACATAGTGACTTTTGTTCCCTTGACTCACCTTGCTCTACGTTTACGGACTCTTCTCTCGTAATCGGCCTCTTCGTAGTACAGCTCATTGTGGGCGCTGTCTTTGCGTTTGGCGGCAGCTGTAACCATGGCCCGGGACTGATTCCCATTACCAGGCTGCGCTCCTGCTGTGTTCCCCGGGGCTGCACCAAAAGGAGAGGACAGAAGCAAATTGGTTATATCATTGTGAGCAGGAGCCCCAGCCAGGGTCTAACTCTGATTAATGGACTGTATCTCGCACTCAATCGTGGACAGCAAAGGTCAGATGGTAGCGCAGATCACACAACTCACTGGAGGTGAAAAACTGCTATGAATCAATCTCTTTCGACAGTATTATTTCCAGTTTTAGGTTTTTACAAAGATTTGAGACGGAAGTTTGTAAATCCGTGTTACTTATCTGGGGCATCCTTCCAGATCATGTGTCTCAGTCACAGAGAATGTTAATTTTAGCAATGAGCAAAGAGGCAATTTCCACTTGAAGCGTCAATGTTTCTCTGATACAGAAACCTTTATATTGCTGGGTAAATTGAATATTCATAATTTTACACTTCAAAGGCCATGGTTGCTGTCTGATCTGTGAATTTATTGGTTAGTCTGACAAACCCATAAAGCTAATGGAGCTTGTACGGCAGTATATTAGAGTTCCTGGAGTTTTATTGTGGGGGAGTGTTGCATGGTCCATATTAATGAAGGTCAGTACAGTTTGGGGGAGGTTATAGAAAGTAAACGCTGCAGTTCAGGTAAGGATATAAATCCTTTATTATCTGATCTGCATATGTGCATTTATGTGTGTGAGCAGGTGAGATGGGAATCTGAATGTAGCAATAAAACATGGATGAAAAACCATGCTTGTGAATACTGTAGAGAGAAGATCATTTACACAGGGAGCATTGTAAATATTTTCCACGGAAAACATGGGTAAACACCGGTCTCTTTGACTTCCTGGCCTACATATTCATGCTATAAGAGGAGTGTCTTTGAATGACGGTGAAGGAAGAGGGA